TGTGCTCTTCCGATCTATTGAGAAAATAAAATGGGCCCCTCCATCGCCCATTTTCGTGAAACGCAATCAAAAATCTTTATTCGTTTCTCCGTCGTGCTTTGACCATAAGATGTACAAATATACCTACTTTACAAAGCAGTATTTTCATCTAACATAACACATAATAAAATTTATGTTTGTATAAGTTATGTACTTCTTTTATCATACTGTTTCTACAGTATATGCAATAACACTTTCGTGTATGGCATTCTTTAAAATAATATATTTTTATTAAAAAATATTTATTGCCTCGGAAAAGGCAATAATTTGCGGCCTTCTATGAGTTATAAAGTGACGTCTCATAGAAACTACGTCATTGGAATATTTTTCATTACAAGGATTTTTACCTAATACTATATCCGTTGCAAAAGCCGCAGCATATATTCCACAAGATGTACCATCCGGTTGCATTTGAACTTTTTCAAAGCTTATGTCGGTAGGTATTTGTTGGGTTCGCACGCGACCGAGGTCTGAGGGAAAGCGTAAGGGATAATACGTAATGACCCGTAGTACTAGGAATACAGTTCCGATTTATTTTTCTCATACAGAGCACCGAACGTAACGCTGTCCTAGCATGTACTGTCCCCCCGGCGCGAGCCCGCCTCGCGACCGCCCTCTCGCGGCGGGCGCGTGTCGACAGCGGGCCCTAACATCTCCCCTCTTGGGAAGCTACTGGTGAGAGTAGGACTTGGCCCTCGGATCCAGGACCAGTCTCCGTGGCTGGACTCTTGTGCGAATGGGTCTGGACGGAGTATCGCCTGGTGGAGGCTCGTTTAGATCCCTGTTATCTTCACGTGTAGTTTGATGATCAGGAAGAGGGTGCGCGGTGGTCTCCGACGGGTTAGGCTCGTAAAAAATCCAGTCGTCGGAAACTGGGGCGTTTAGGATCGTCGGGGCGTCACCTCCTTCCCAAATATGGTTGATGTGACGTTCGATGGATTTGCCATTGTCCAGACGCACCAGGTAACGTGATTTGGAAAGTACGGCGGTCACGTAACCTAATTCGCGCTTGTTGTTGAGAGCGACAACCACTCTATCTCCAAGGTTGAGTATTTTTGGGCGGGCTCCATGTTGCTTTGTGAATTGTTCTTGCATGTCTTGTTGTTTGTTTATGGAGTCCGACATCGAAGAAGCTGAGGATGCAGGTGATTTTGGAGATAATTTTGAGAATGGTGAGGAAATTCGCCTGCCGAAGAAAAGTTCTGCGGGGGATTTGCCGTCAGGGGCAGAAGTGCACGGTGTATATCTGTAGCTGTATAAGAAATCTTGTAGTTCCGCTTTCCAGTTCGAAGAATTTTTTGCGATGGCTCTTTTAACTGAATCGACCATCCTTTCCGCCTGACCGTTGGATTGTGGATGGTTGACGGCCGTAAGGATATGAGTGATTTGCATGTCCTTACAGAATTTAGCGAAAAGGTCTGCAGTAAACTGGGTTCCATGGTCGCTAATGAGAACTTCTGGAGGGCCGTATCTTGAGAAGATTTCATGGCAAAGTTCGACTGTCCGAGCGGCGGAGATAGTAGAGGTGATTCCGACGTCGATGAATTTAGAGTAGGCATCTACGAAGATCAGCAGGTATTTGCCGTCGATGGGTCCCGCGAAGTCCACGTGTAGGCGTTCAAGAGGCCTGGAGGGGGTTGGCCATGGGGATATCGGAACTTTGACCGGCAGCTTCCGTGTCAATGCGCAAGGGTCGCAACGTTTCACCAGGTGTTCTATGTCCTCAGAAAGTTTAGGCCAATAAACGTATTCGCGTGCGAGTTGTTTCATTCTTCTGATGCCGGGATGGCCTATGTGGAGAGACGAGAGGATGCTGGATTGCATACTTTGCGGGATGACTACTCTGTCTCCTAAAAGTAGGGTGTCATCTACGATAGTCAGGCAATCCGCACGTTTTTTGTAGTGTTCTACTATTGGTGAGCAGGCGGTTGGGAATTTGTTGTTCTGGATGGCTTTCATGACTGTTTTGAGGTCTGGATCTAGGCCGGTGGCGGTTTTTAGTTTGTGACGAAGATCTTTGCCAAATTTATCGATGGAGAGATCTCTAATTTGCTGGATTTGGTTATCCACCGTGTGGATGCTAGCCACTTGCAGTTCTTCTGAATTATCTTGACGGAATTTTTCGATTAAGCGGGATAGAGCGTCTGCTTGGCCGAAATCTTGTGTGCGGACGTATTCGATTTTAAAGTCGTATCCTAATAACCTGATGGCCCAACGTTTTAGACGAGCTACAGTGGTGGGTTTGAGGCCTTTGGTATTTTCCGTTTGAAGTAAAGCTACCAGAGGTTTATGATCCGTTTGGAGGATAAACTCCCTTCCCCAGAGGAATTTGTGAAAGCGTTCGATTGCAGTAACCAATGCAAGGGCTTCCTTTTCCAACTGAGAGTAATTGCGTTGAGAGTCCGTAAGGCTTTGAGACATGTGGTATACGGCGTGTTCGCGTCCTTGGGAATCCCGTTGTATAAGTACCCCTCCGATGCCCGTGGAACATGCGTCGGCCGCCACTACGAGCGTTTTTGATGGATCGAAATGCTCTAAAAGTAGAGGACTGAGGAGGATTTCCTTAACACGTAGGAAGGCTGCGTCGTGGTGAGAGTTCCATGCCCAAGGCTGATTCTTTAGGTCCTCTAGCGGTTTCTTAATTTGATGCAGATGCGGGATGAACTTTCCGTAGTGATTTATCATCCCCAGGAGAGATTGGACTTCTGCGACGCATGCTGGTTTGGGCAGTTTGGCAACGGCACGTGTGGCTTCTGGGTCGGCCGAAATACCGAAACCGTTTATGATGGCGCCTAGGTATTTGATCTCTCGTAGTGCAAGACGACATTTCTCTGGCTTTAATTTCCAACCTATTTCTTCCAGACGATGGAGGGTTGTCCGCAAGCGACTGTCGTGTTCTTGACGAGTAGAGCCCATGACTACCACGTCGTCGATGTACGCGTAGACGCCGTCTAAGCTGGATAATGTGAAATTCATTGCTTGCTGAAAGATGGCCGGTGCGGTCTTGATGCCGAAGGGGAGGCGTTTGAACCTGTAAAGACCTTTAGGGGTGGTGATTGTAGTGACGTCTCGGTGATCTTCGGCGACCTCTATCTGTAGGAAAGCGTCGCTGAGATCTAGAACGCTAAAGTAACTATTGCCGTTTAATTTAGACATAATAAGATCTATATTGGGTAAAGGATACGAGTTTCCTCTGAGGGCATTGTTTACCCCCGTGGAATAGTCGGCGCACAATCTGATCTTGCCATCCGGTTTTTTTACAATAACGATGGGAGTGCTCCAGTCGGATAGGTGCACTCGTTCGATGATGTCAAGGGATTCCAGGCGTGAGATTTCCTCTTCGAGTAGTTTCTCTGTAGCATATGGGATCTGTCTGCACGAGGTTTGTTTGGGGACGGCGTTCTCGGATAATGTAAATTTAGCTTGAAAGTTTTTGCATTGTCCAAGGCCGGGCGAAAAAAGTTTTGGAAACTCATTCACGATTTGATTGCGAAACACTTGATTCGATTGGGAATCGGCAGAAGAATCGGGCATTTTATTGTTTTTGATAACCGCACATTGATTGATTCCGTCGTGGCGGAGCTTACGGCACTTATCGAGGGACATGTTCCACAGGTCGAGTGTGTCGATTGCATTTAAGCCGAACAGGTTAAGGCCGTTACGCGCGACGACATCTATGAATACTTCTCCATCACGATCGGCTGCGCGAATTTTGCACTTGAATCTACCGATCGTTTTTAATGAATCGCCGCCGGCGTGTTCCACTGGTTTGTGAGAGTGAAGAGTCGGACTTCCTAGACGGGTCCATATGTCTTTACCAATGGTCGTGACGTCCGATCCGCTGTCGTGTTGGAGATTCACTATTTTGCCCAGCATCGTATTAGGGATGTAGATGCGACGGCGTTTATCGATTGACGTTATTGATTGAATTACTGGATTGTCGTTGTAGTCACTTTCGCTGTAATCACTTTCCACGTCGTTATCGACCGCTAAATGATCAACCTTCGCGGTCGAACGACACACTTTTGCGATGTGGCCTTTCTTGGAGCACTTAGAACATGTCGCGTCGCGGAAAGGGCACTTTGAGCGGAGGTGCGCGTTTCCGCACCCGTTGCACTTGGTGGACACAGTAGGTTGCGCTATTGTATTATTTGTGTTACTCGCATGCTTATTTGTAGTATCAGGTGGCGGTTGCTTCTGATATTTCTTTTTTACGTTGGCGCGCAAAGCCAGTGTTGACGAACCCGCGGTATTAGTAGGATTTTCGAGTTTTTTCATATTCGAGGCCACATTCATGTGAGCCTCGAGTTCCGTAGCGATGTCTTTGAGGGTGGCCTCTTGGTTTTTTTCTACGACGCGAAGCGCCATCTTTTTCAGATCGTCATTGTCCCGCGAGAAGCAGAGAGATTGCAAGAGTAATAAGACTCTGAGGTTGTCGTCCGTAAGCTTAGAGCGCTCGAATTCCGAGGCAAGACGATTGATCTTGTCGATATGTTCCGAGATAGGTGTCGTTTTGTCGTACCTGTGGTTCAATATCTCGATGCGACGTCGTGTGAGAGATATTTTTTCCCGGAAGAGATTTTTCAAAATGGGGATGAGGTCTGACAGTTTCATTTTGGTCGGATTCGTAGGCGCGACGTGATCCACAAGTCTGTCGAACTCCAATTGACCCAATTTGTCCAGCAGCAGGCGAGTACGCATTTCCGGGGGGAGGGCTTCCGCTTCGGAAATGAGTGTGTACTCGTGTCGTAGCAGCCATTTTTCGAAAGGTCTCTTTTCGTCCCCGATGCCGGTGTCGAAGACGAATTTTTCGATGCGAGCGCTGAGTTGATTGTACGTGTCGGTCGTTGTA